TAAGTTAATTTGTAAATTTTGTAGTAACCTGTAAATTGTAAATACTGTAAAACTTTTTTCTGTCATTTAATGGTCGGGCATTGTACAGCTACAAGCATTTCACCCCATATCATACTGTGTATGGTTGTGTGTGTGTGACAAATAAAATTTGAATTTGAATTTAAGGAATAACTTGTCAGCCGTATAAAGCCAACTGATAGCTCCAGCACGTCACGTGTCACAGTGTCACCTGCCAGGTACACTGAGGAAAACGTGGCGGGCAATATGAAACACGTAAAATGAATGCATAGTGACCCTACACACTGTACGAAGTGTCCCAATCTTCACGGCTTACGTAAAACAAACCCCCCGGTATGTCGGCCTCTCATTTCCTGGTTATGTTCCGGTTTTTTTCCGGCTCTCCTTAGCTGACGCGGGTCGTCCAATGATATGAGTCCACATGCAGCGCAGGGAAGAGGGGCAGCAGTGAGGCGCTTTGATAAAACCAGACTGTCGGCAGCGCGTGAAGCCACTGAGAGCTGCGCCACGGTGAGGCAGGGTACGGCACGGGAGCACAGAGGAGGACTGGACCGGGTGAATGCAGTCCTCGGCACGGGACGCTGCTGCAGACACTTTCCCACTATTTTCGGACATAACGGGAGGCGCACAGTAACCACGCGGGGAAGAGGAATTTGGCTACAAAATTTCCGTCGTGAAGGAAATCTTAATAGGGGCCGAGAAGTGAAAGGGACACGTTACACCTCTGTCAGTAGCTGCCGATAGCTATCCGAGCTGACAAAGTCCTCGTTGCTCTAAAAGTCCTCACAGGGTAGGAAGCCACAAGGTATCCTCCACCGGTGTCCTCGGGTACAGCTGAGTGAGAAGGAGCCGTCTATCCGCCATGGAGAACGCTCACACGAAGAGTGTGGAAGAAGTTTACAGTTATTTCAGCGTCAATGAAAGCACAGGACTTTCCCTGGACGAGGTGAAACGACAGCGGGAGAAATGGGGCCTAAACGGTACGACAGCTAAAAACCGCAAAGCGCCGGAAAAACAAAAACGCTGCGGCTGCGAACGAGACACGGCGTGAAAGTGTCATGTCACGGTGGCGTGGGCAGCGCGAGCTCAGTTTTTGATATGCGGGGTAAAAGTCGCCAGCATCATCATCAGACCGTGTGGTGATTTGGCTGACGTCACCTCGAGGGTTTCCCGTGTTTTACACAGTAACGAGTTAATCATTACTCAGAGGCCGTAGCTGTGCACGGTAACGGCGCGTGAGCTGCCTGTGATCGCGGCCACACTGCTGACAGCAGCGGGGAAATGTGGCGCGGTAGTTTCACACGGTAACCCTGTTGAATGTTCCTCAGCAAAACTGTAATACATGTGCACTGGACACTGAGCAGTAGGTACAGGCTTACTGGACCAACACTGCCAAAGTTAATCTCTCTTGTCCCAGGCTTAAACAGCTGTTTTATATTAATATCAACCGGGAGGCCATGGGCGGTATTCCCTCCTTCTAGCTCACCTTGACCTTTGCACTGATTGGATTTTTATTTAAATATTTATTCCTGCTGTGTAATAAAGCATCACTGATGTAAATTATGTACCGTTGTTGGCTCTAGACATGTGAACATGGGTCTTGCATACAAAAGTATTAAATAGTTGCAGTGTGATTTCTTTCATGGGTTTAACAGTCAAACAGAGGCATGCATACAGAAATTCCCCTCTTTTTCACTGTTTATGACTGAATAATCACTGAGCAAAAGTCTCACATGAAACTGAGAATAAGCTGGTGGCTTTGACACCTAAATGTGCCTGAGATTTAGAGCTATGAAAGTAGTGCTCACAAACATGCAGAGTTGCTGTTTCTCAAGTGGGAAACTTTTTGTTGTTGTTGTTGTGTTCATATATTACTTATATATTTATTTATTTATTTTTCTTCTTTGCCTGCTTCCTGTATGATCCCCGGATTGACAACCGCATACCCACACACAGAGTTACCAGCGGAGGAAGGTAATCACTGCTGTCACTCACACCACTCCCATCATTTTTATGCTGGCAAGTTTCTGCGATTGGCTTGTTTTTCACTAACTCCCCCCTCTCTCTCTCCCTCTCTTTGCAGGGAAATCTTTATGGGAGCTCGTCCTCGAACAGTTTGAAGATTTGCTCGTTCGAATTCTTCTGCTGGCTGCATGCATATCTTTTGTAAGTATATGCTAGAGCGTTTGTTTTAATGTACCACACAGACTTGCTTTCAGTCATCTCATCCCAAGCTCAGTGAGCTGAAACTGAATTGCGGGCTTCTTCTCGAAATTCAGCTGAGCTTCTTAGTTTTATTCTCAGTGTTAACTCCCCTGTCCTGTCACCCCCTGCGTGTCCGTGTGATGATGTGCTAATCTTAAAGTCAGAAGAAACCTTTTCACATCCCTCAAATAGCTTCCTCTTTCCACCTCCTGTCTGAAAGTGTTTACATGAAGCCAAAGCCGCAGATGGGATTATTATAAAGCCCGGTGTCATAAATGGCAGCACACTATTTATTCAGCGCATAGTGCTGAAGTGTGAACGTCTTCGGTTTGTATAACGTGCCTATGGTTACACTCACATATGGGAGCTAAACAGCTGAGAAGGCTAGCAGCCCGTCTGAGGAATGGTGACAACAGCAGTAGCAGCATTGAGTTGCTATCACCATGTGCCAAGTAAGACATTTAAGTCGCCAAGCGTGACTGCTGTGTAATAACTTGCACTCGGCCTCGTCCGGGCCGCAGGCATCCAATGCTACATGGATATATGTTTGATGGCTTACACTTACATAACAGCGTCACTGCCATGTGTCTGAGCCAATTTACAAGCTAAATTAAGTGAACATTTCCACATGGTATAAACTATAGATCCACCATGCAGCTTGCAGCCTATGAAATGTACCTGTCAGCTGCAGGGACTTTTTAAAACATTCTTTTATGTTAAAGGTGGAATCATGGTTAACTTGCACATCTCTTCTTGTCTCTTAAGTTCTTCTACTGTGTTTAGATAAAATGTAACAAGTAAATGAGAACATGTTCTCTGATCTGCTCCCAAAAGCTAAATTGAGTAAAATCAAAATAAAAGCATTTTATTTTGCTACATTTTGCTGTCAAATTGTGCTTTTTTTCTTCTTCTTCTTTTTTTAAAGCAGTCTTTAGCACTGCAAAGATTCATCCTTGCTATTTAATTCTATAAATGACTGCTAACGTAACAGATGGCTGAAGAAGACTTTGATAACTGAGGCTGCCTGTGTGTGTGTGTGTGAGACAGAGAGAGCTGGTAAGAGTGGTGCCTGGTGTCAGGTGATACAGAGGTGTCAGTCGCTGCTGTCTGACAGTGGAGCAGAGCACCACTCGAGACCAAATTTGGTTCCTCACCCCTCAGTGGGAGGGCTCTCTATCAGACAGAAGTGCACACCAGCGTCGGTGTAAATTTTATGTGTATATAACCATCAAACCTCTTAGAAAAACTAAAAACCATATCCAGAAGAATGTGCTTGGATGAGTGAGTCACATTCGCCTGCTGCATGTTTAGCTGCTCTTTATGCAAATATCTAATCAGCCAATTACATGGCAGCAATGTCAGAGGGGCTGGTCTGAGTATCTCAGAGTGTATTATTTTAGTTATTATTTTTTTAATTAATTAAAAGTGTGTATGGATTTTAGATGGATGGATTTAATATCTGAAGAGGTTACTCTGGTTTCTAACACACCACAGTTAACATTTCTTTGCTATTTTCTTACTAATCAATTCATCGACAAGCAGATTGCCATTATATTAAAATGAAGAGGGTAGCTGGTTAGAATAGTATCTTTACATGTATTGTATGCCATGACATACAATAGCGCATTATAAGCACTTCTGTGTTGAGACAGCTATTAAAGCATTATGCTTGCCTTTTTGAATTATGCCATTCAAAAGTCTTTGGCATCCACTGCAGTCAAACACTTGGGTCTTACTGAGGTTGATTGCTTTATACATTATGGCAGATTAACTAATTGCTAGTGACAGACAGGGTAATTTAAAGACCGTTTTCTCAGGAACAGCAAGCCAAATGAGACTCCGGGTCAATATACTGTAATTCTTTTCCTGGCAGTTTTGAGTGTGTGCGTGTAACAATGTTGAGACTGGTCCTTTGGTGTTCGTGATGTGAATTAAGTAAAATTGACAGGCTTAAAAAGTGTTAACTTAATGGAGGTCTGACCGTGTTAACCCCACAGCTTTCTCCACAGCCACCTGTTTGCATTATTGAAGGAATTACTCATGAAGTAGCCTCTGTCCATATGCAGCTTAGCCAAGCTTTATAGCTTTCAGAGCAACAGTAAAAACCAGTAATTACAATGTATGTATGTTTATATACCACTGTGCATATGAGTATATAACCAGCTGCTCACAATGAATAGAATAAATCAATTTCTAATGTTTCTAACCTAACTAGGAATTTTAAAGGTCTGCTGTTTACAACAAAAGTCAGAACATTGTTATTCCATTTTAAAATTCAATTCAATTTTATTTATATAGCGCCAAATCACAACAAA